TTCCTCCTCCTCTTCTTCCTCCTCCTCCTCCTCCTCCTCCTCATCTTCTTCCTCCTCCTCCTCATCCTCTTCCTCCTCATCCTCTTCCTCCTCCTCCTCCTCCTCCTCATCATCATCATCTTCAGAACTTTCAGTGTTTCACTAACTTTCAAAACCTGAACTACCTGGACCTGCGTGGACAGAACGGCACACAGGCCCTACCTGTGCTTGGGAAAATGCATGGCATTTATCGAATCGGTGCACTGTGCGCAGAGGTCCCGAGGCCCTGTGCGCACAGCGCACAGCGCACAAGTGCGCTCAGCGCACAGTGCACAGCGCACGGCGCACCGTGCGCTCGTGGAAAATGGGCCACACTGCGCACAGCGCCCTGCCCCGCACTGCGCACCGCACCAGGGCGCCGCAAGTATGCTTAACCCATTGGATTGATAGAGCAGTGGTTTGTAGATAGTCGTCCAACAAGGCCAATCCTCCCCTGGTTTTAGGCTGGATCGGTGTATCCCAAACCACCCGGTTAATCACATTTTGTTGCTCGTGGTTCCCTCACCAGAAAAAGGTCAGTAAGTGCTTTTTGAGGGCCCTAACACTATTTTGACCTAGATGCCAAAGGGCCGATTTATACCAAATTGATGCAACACTACGTTGTTGATGATCAGCGCCCTTCCAAAAATGGAGGTGTTTTTGTTTCCCCATTTCTGGATTTTTTGCAGCATAGGTCCAGTAATCCATTTGTCGTTGCTCACCGGTGATCCCTGAGCAGAGATTGTCACCCCTAGGACACGGATCTGTTCCTCCAGGGATCTTCAGTCCACATTGGGCTGTTACCGGGGTCGAACCCCATGGAAGTGGACCCAACAGCCTTACGTTTTACTTCCCTGGCTGACTGACATGTCCGAACCTGGGTGAAGCGCCCCATTAGAGCTTGGATTTTTGCCATATTACTTTGAGTGGCCTCTACTTCTATTGTCAGGTCATCCGCAAACATCGAATAGACTGGTATGACTTCCTCTGGAATACCTGCTAGACGGAGCCTAGATATTTTTTTGTTAGTTCTCAGATTAGTTGCCAGCGCTTCCATTACTACGAGGAAGAGGAATGGGCTATAGGGTCTCCCTGCCGCATGGAGCGTTGCAATTTGATATCCAAAGCTAAGAGCCCATTCACCTGCACCCGTGTAGTTGCATTGTGGTGGAGTATTCTCATCCAGTCCCGAAATTCCGGACCAAAGTTCATTTTCTGCATGCATTTGTCCAGGAGTCTCCAATCTTTGTGATTGTATGCTTTTTCAAAATCGATAAACACTATGGCCGTGTTTTGCCGTGATTGCCTCAATAGTTTGATTAGTCCGTTGACCAATAACACATTATCCTGGATATTTCTTTTACGCATACACCCTGTTGCTGTAATTGACAACAGAGTTCTTTCTTTTCTGTGGTACCTATCCCTGGTTGCTCCCCCCATGATCACACTATTTCCCACCTAAAGGGGTCCTTTGCCCACTTCCTTTGGACAAAAGATTTTGTTGCTAGACATGCGATATGTCAGGTGGCCTGGAGCACCCTCGCCCAGGAAAGGACGCAAGGGGGCCTCTCTGTTGGCCCGTTGGCCGAAATTGATCTTCAGCCCCATGGCCCCTTGGAGGGTGATCGCAGTGGAACAGATCAGGCTTGGCTGCTGAGACTGATCCAAAAATACCCCCCCTTCAAGTGGCTTGTGGGGCCACCGTGGTAGTTGTTTCCAACTTTATCACAATATATATGCGAGAGCAAGCATAGGCGAAATTCAGTAGCCAGAACACCACAGCAGGAGAAGGTGGAGGGTTGAACAAGAGTTGAGACAAAGGAGATGAAAGAAGAAAGAAGAAAAGACAGCAGACACCATGGTCTTCTCCCGAACGGGACCTTGAGAGGTCAAAAAATTTAATGATAAATCCGACCTCCCATAGCCAGCTTCTCGTAATAGGCAGTCGTCAATACCAATGACGTAGTCGTCAATATCCTGTACCACGCTTGAAGACTAGCTGACTGGAGTGGCGTGACCCTACGCCGCGTTTCGGCCGGTTGCCAACCGGCACTCACCGTGGGCCATGGGCTGCACTGTCTGCTCACCTAGGGGACATCAGAATGGAGGGAAGGATGGACCTGAATAATGACGTCTTTTGGCCACAGGTTCTTAGGCTGTGGAGGGAGGATAAAGTGTTGTGAAGACGTCCTTCTGCAACCACTGTTTGGCAGCCGCAACACTACAGCTGAGACTGGGACAGTTATCTGCTCACAGCACTTCCCTTACTAGACCAATGGGTCAAAGGGGGAGTCCTTTGTTTAGCAGACATATCCAACCAGGAGGAACACAGATGTAAGTCCTTTGACTCATTTGAGCAGCTGCAACCCTCCTCCCATAGGCCCACAATTGAACTGAGAGTAGCGAACAGCATCCCCTTGTCCTTGTTAATCATCATCCTCTCGAACGAGAGAGTCGTCCAGGAAAAAGAATGGTTGATCTCCTGAACCAAAAAAAAAAAAAAAAAAAAAAAAAAAAGGKGGGGTTGGTCTGGCAGCAATCCCARAAGACGGACWMAAAAAAAAAAAAAAAAAAAAAAAAGGTTTACCTGCGGATGGCCCTGGCACCCGCCTGGCCTGAGTTAAGGTGTGTTAGGGATGAGGGTGGATGGGTTGAGGCAGTCTCCACATATCATGTCAGGGTGGTTGGCCACCCTCAAGTGAGCTGCTGGGTTGTCAAGCACAGCACTCGGCTTAGGTGGCTTAGCCAACTCCCCTTTGACCCCCTTGAGTGGCAATGGGGGTGTCCAAGCAGGGTGAGCTCTGCCTGGAGGGGGGCTATGGCAACTTATCGAGTGCTCGAACTTCTAGCCCCGCAGGGGAGGGGTACCTACTGGTAAAACCAAAGGTCTGCATGACGTCTGTGGTATCAGTAAGATGGTGGAAACACCTCAGTATCAATGACTAGCTGCTAAGATAGATAACTGGTTTGGCCCCTGCAACGCCGAACTCTCAAACTTTTTGCCGAGGGGATGCTGGACCGGTTTTCCAGCTGGCTTAGTTCCCCACCAATAGACGGAGCCCTCCGCTCTCTGGAAACCCACACTTTGGGGATTCTGTTGCCGCCCTCCCAGCTGTGGCTTGCCACATTGATGTATTTTGGGGAGGGGAAAGAAGAGAAAAAATATGTCGTCCAAGCTAGACGATGATCATTGCTGAGATTTTCTGTTGTCATCGACTTCTCGATCGCACTTGATTTCCAGGGCTCCTAGTCTGTGATTGTTTTTTACGTCAGCTAATTTTGAATGATACTCTGAGAGAGAGAGAGAGAGAGAGAGAGAGAGAGAGTTGGGTATCAAAACTGGTCCATGTTTCCCCCCCCCCCCCAAACTCCACTGAGCATCATAAATGACATTGCAAAGGATCGTGCGTCTACTTGCAGCATTTGAACATCATGGTGCCTCAGACAGCGTCGTATTTTTCCAATGTCATAATTATCCTAATCATCATCACCAACATCTTGTTGGCACTTCCAGCTCATTCGACATTGAAACTGGCAACGGCATTGGTGGACCAAAGGCATGATGTGCAACAGCTGTCTGACGTGTCAGTCTTGCATTCATCCTCTCCGTTCCAGCTCAGCTCTGATGCGCTCTCTGGTAATTGGCAGGTAGAGGTTCCGCCTCCTCCTCCCATTCTACCGATCCCGACGGCAGGTCAGCTGGCATGGCAACGACGCGAACTTTCTATGTTTATTCACTTTGGATTGCAGACCTACGGGACAGGAGATCATGGTCGGGACCCCCCTTACCTGTTCAACCCGAGCAATCTGAACACAACACAATGGGTGGAGGCTGCACGTGCCGGAGGCTTTAAGACCGTGGTTCTGACAGCGAAGCATGCAGATGGCTTCTGTCTATGGCCAAGCAAGTACACAAGGTACTCTGTCAAGTCCTCGCCATGGCGAGATGGGCAAGGTGATGTGGTCGCGGAGCTGGTGGATTCGGGAAAGAAGCTGGGGGTGCGAGTTGGGCTCTACGTTTGCCCGCACGATAATCACGAGTTTGCCTATGGTGATCTAGCAAGGTACAACGAGCATTTCATGGCTCTGCATAGGGAGGTGATGACCAAGTATGGACCCATAGCAGAAGACTGGTACGATGGTGATGGGGGCCAGTACCCCTACAGCTTTGGCAAGTTCTGGGCCGTTGATCGGCAACTGCAACCAATGACTCAGATCTTCTCTGACGCTGGGCCTGACATACGTTGGGTAGGGAATGAGAGAGGAGAAGCGGGTACAACCTGTTGGTCGATGATTGACCGCCACCGGTTGCATGCTGGGACTGCTGGTGCCACTGACGCCATAGCCAAGTACCTTAACGAAGGAGACAGAGACGGACCCCATTGGTGTCCCGCTGAGTGTGACGTGTCCATTCGAGAAAACTGGTTCTGGACAAAGGGTGACAGGCCGAAGAACCTAAATGAGCTTGTCGACATATACTTTGCCTCAGTTGGGAGAAATTGTGTCCTGCAGCTGAATGTGCCTCCTACTCCAGCGGGCCTTTTCGACCTCGAGGACGTCTCAGGGTTACATCAACTTCGAGCTGTTTTGGACTTCATTTTCTCTGAGGACTTTGCCAGGGGCAAGCCTGCAAATGCCAGCAGTGTATGGGGGGCTACCCGAGCCGTCACCTCGGTTGCTGGGGCAGAGGGTGCAGCGGGTGCTGCTAGTGCTGCTGTTGCAGCCTCAGCTTCAAGTCTTGATTTCAGTGCCAGGGCCCAGATCTCGTTCGCTGGCAAAACAAAAGCAAGCACAGTTACGGGGCTGGGTGGTATCAAGTCCAAGCCCATCATTTCCCGTGTTGCAGCTGCAGTTGGCGGAGAACCAAGCTTTGCTGAAGACATCAGCTCCAAGCCACGGAAGATGACACCTCCCGGAAGCAACCTGTTGCTCAGCAAGGCCACCGCTTCATCTGATGGTAATGCCTCTGCCACAACCTCGAGGCTCGCCATTGGCAATAGGCTTCGGAAGCTATTGTTGGCTGCAACAACGGGAAGCAAACATGCATTGGCTGATCGTAAGTATAGTGTCAGTAGAAGCTTGAGAGAATTGCCAGTGAGCATTCGACGAAGGTTACCCAAGTCTCCCACATCCTCATTGTCTTCATCCTTACCTGCAAAGAAAGTCAGGAAAAGCTCAAGGCATCAAAGCAGACTGAAACTTCTTCATGGAAGTGATGAGGAGGTTGTTGAACGGCTTGTTGCGGACATCATGATGGATAATCCATCACCCTCTTCGACTAGTAACAGTTGTATTAGCAGTAGCAATTGTCTTAATAGTGGTGGTGATCGTGGTAATACAGATGCTGATGTTGATAGTGATGATGCTGATAATGGTGGTGGTGGTGGTAGTGATGGTGAAGATGATACGAGCAATTCAAGTGTTCAAAACGTAGCACTTAACCTCCCACGAAGATCATTCAAGTCACGGTCATCATCCCCCTTGTCATTTGCACAAACGTCATCTTCAGCGGCTGGCAGTCATGGCGTATGGAGCTCAAGGGCGACAACCGAGAGTGGCAACCCGGCCAGCAGAACAGGGATAACAGCAGGCGGCGTGGCGCATAACGTACCCATAACCATCGTTCAACGGTGGCATTCATTATCCCCTTATGGTGCTGACAAGGCTGTGGATAACGACCTGGAAACGTATTGGGCAGCTGATGAGGGAGAGACCACAGGCACCCTGGAAGTCGATCTGTGTTCACCGACCGTGTTCAATGTGGTGCGGATTCAAGAACCTATACAGATGGGTCAAAGAGTAGGAGCGTACCTGGTTCAGGCTTGGGTGGTGGACGCGACTCCAAGGAATCAGACGGAACCGGATGGGAGGATCACAAAGGACGTCGGCGGCGGCGGCGGACAATGGACGATCGTATCCTCCGGAACTACGATTGGTCACAAGAAACTGGACAGATTGACGAGTGTTGTGAACGCTACCAGGGTACGGTTGGTAGTGGTTGATGGTCGGGGTACCCCATTGATTGCGGAATTTGGCCTGCATCTTATTAGGTCTTCAAGGCCCACTGTTCAGTCCTGTTCTCTCTGAGAACTAGTATCATATGGCAACAATTTGGTCTTTGACTCTTCATCCTTTTTCTCCCTTTTCGTTTTCCCAAAGGAAAACTCAGCGGGTAGTTTGGTTTGCATCTCGTCGGGCCTCGGGCCTTCAAGTTCGCTACTTGAACTTCCTTCTCTTAGTGCTTTGTCCTCACAGTGCGGATTACCCAGAGCATGCTGTCATTTGCTCACGAAGGAAGTAAGGATGCAGATGGAAATCATAGAATCGTATCCTAGCAGCGATGCATGTCAAAAGACACTCCCAATTGACACCCTCTACTACCTACCACCATCTCATTCTTTATTAGTTGTATGCAGTTATGCTCCCTGTGAGGCACCTGGCTTTCAGTGAAACCTGAGCCGCCGTTTCGCTGGTACTTTCATTTTTCTGGTAGTAAGAACTACAGTTCTGCATTTGGCTTTAAATGCGGCCACTATCCGGGAGCGCCTCAGTTTCCCAAGATGGTGACCACAATAGGGTTGGATTTTCGCCTCCCTGACTGCCAAAACTAATACGGCACCAAGGTGGTTAGGCTCGGCAGCTGACGCCTGGAGGTAGTGCTGGTTTGGGCTTACTTCTGCCTCACGTATGTGCAGCACATACGCGGTTCATCCTCAGGATAGGAGTAGATCCATCACTCCTATTACCGTCTTCACCTGAATAGTAGGACGCCCAGTCATTGTCGCTGTATCTAGAATGAGAGTTGCCCCGATTCCCCGAATACAGCTACAATGACTGCGCTTTCTATTTGGGGTGAAGGGAGTAGTTGGCACGTTATTTCAACATGTCCTACCTCTGTGTAGTTCCCATCATCCCCCTCCCCCCTCCCCACCCTTTTGTATTGTCATGGTTTCTCATGATCTGACATCCTTTCAGTGTGTTTTTGTTTTTTTTTGTTTTTTTAAGGCCAATATAGATCTATTAGGGAAGATGATAGGAGCAGCCCCCGCTAGTAGACCCAGGATAGGCCGCTCCATCTATTAGTAGGGAGCTGCACCTGCTGGAAACCGGGTAGAGCGTCCCTTACATAATTACCAGAAAGCTTATGAGTTTGAAAGTAGAATCCTGCCTCTTCAGCCCATTCTGAGCCACCAGATAAAGTGAATCAGTCTAGCAGATCTACCTTATAAACTCAGCAGCATTTCAAAATAGAAAATTTTAATCTTGTACTTGCTCACTTTTAGCTCTCGCTTGCCCTTCCTTCCCCC